GCTGGCGTTCTGAGATGGCTGATTGGAGAGATCACATCTGTCTGGCTTTTGGGTAGCTGGGTCATCGTTAAGGTGCTGGAAAACAAAGTCACATTAGTAAAGAAAGAAAAGGTTTTGGGAAATTAAAGGGGAGATTTGGGGTGGGGGGGCTTTAGGAGATTTGGGGTTAAGAATAATAAAAAATTGAATGGTACTTATTCCTTTAATGATCCGTTTGGGCCTGCTTTGTTCAGGTGGGTTGGGCTGGCTTCTTGGAGCCTAAAGGAAATGTCTTAAAAGAAATAAATTCTTAACCATTACCTTAACACCCTGAATGACTTGCAAACTTCGCTGTATCCTGGCAACTATTCCAGTACTGATCCTGGCAATTGCCGTTATGTTCTGTTTCTGATAAAGGTATAGAAAGTTGGATTGCTCTCAATAAGACAGTCACAGCCTCACTTGTGCTGTGGCCTCTCCAGCCTGGCCGGATTTCATTCCTCTTGGCCATTTCAGGTGACCTGGGCCCAGTCAGTAAGCGCAGGTGCTTACAATCTAAAATGTAATAGTTCATTTCGAGTGGACTTTGACTCTGATCTCTATTAAATAAAAAACTATGGGATGGATTCCTATAGATAGATGTACCTTTGTACCTTAAGGGGAATTCATTTATTCCCAAAATTTGTTTTTAGGACAGAGAAAATACTGAGAGCCCAAGGAGGGGACTGAAGCCTTGGGAATGGGTTAAGAAAGCACCAGCAGGGACCACTTTATCTGCTCCAGGGAGGCCTTGTGTGCCTCACTGCTCCCTGTGCCTGAACTGCTTGTCAGCTTCCTATTCACTGGGCTCTCTGCCTGCTTTCTATTCAGACACTGAGCTCTCTGCCCGCTTTCTGTTCACTGGGCTCTCTGCCTGCTTTCTATTCAGACACTGAGCTCTCTGCCTGCTTTCTATTCAGACACTGAGCTCTCTGCACCCTTTCTATTCACTGGGCTCTCTGCCTGCTTTCTATTCAGACACTGGGCCCTCTGCCTGCTTTCTATTTGGACCCCAAGCTCTCTGCCTGCTTTCTATTCAGACACTGGGCTCTTTCCACTTGGTAGCACCCTAAACTCCACAAGACAACACAGATGATGGGATTCCAAAGAGAAATAGACAATAATATTTGTCTGGGAAAAGGCTGCCTGCCCTGTGTGGGAGAGGCCATGAGACAGCTTCTGACCTACGAGTCGTGAAGTACGCTTCCCTTGGGGTGGTCAGCCTACCTAGTTGGTTATAATTTAATGTCTTGAGAAGGCAGAATTGTCCGCCCACAGAGATGTACCTGCTCTTCTGATGGGACCTCGAGGCCAGTGACTGGGCAGCAGCTGAAGTCTCTCAACTGAGAAGATCAGGACAGAACACACTCTTCAAAGCTCGGGAGCATTCCCCCTGCTCTGGCCCTCACCTGTCCGAGTCTTGCTTCTCACATACAGCACTGGACTGCATCGCTCAGAATTAATGGCCCCTCCTGTTTCTACTGTTCCCAACCCCAAGCCTTCCCTCAAGCAAAGCCGCTAGGAAAGAGAATTGTAGGATAATAGACTTGGAAACAGCACTTATCTACCTTTAGAGATGGAAAAACTAACAGTGAGGAGACCAATGACAGAAAACTAATGATCGAGAATTGATAAAATTTCCAGAATTAGGTGACTCTATTTGTCTTCTGCTCCTCTCTGACTGCAAGGTTAACGTGTCCATACTTGAACATGGGGAGCCTGGATATTGAATTTAAACGTAAGAACCAAAAGGAGAAGGAGTTGGCAGTCTGGTCCAAAGCCCTCTCTGTTTCCTCCAGAATGAGAGGTTCAGTCCTTCCCTGGGACATTGGTACCTTCATCTCTGCAGAGCCTTCATGGGAACTGGTTTCCGACCACTCAGGACACTTCCCGTCTCCTTATCTTTTCTCTAGTGACCTGGGGGACCTGATGAACCGGAACAGGTGCAGTAAAAGCCACATAATCTATCTTTAGAAAAGTCTTTAAGACCTCAGAAGTACCCAGCCACACAGAACATACGCTCCGGTCATTTCTCTTGGTTATGAACTGCTGTAAACAGCACACACTCTGGGTGGACATTGTAGGAACTAAGGGGGACCGATTGGAAGGAAGGTTCTTCTCTGTTGGCTGGTTCTCACCATAGTGCTGTGGGTAAAAGTGTTCACGACTTAACACAGATGGAAGCTGTAACACCAACCAACCATACAAGGTGTGTCTATTGGTGCAATGGGGTGCCTGTTATGGGGTCACCTGGTGCTTCCTAATTGGATTTGGGCTTGCCTGATTCTGTAAACCATAACTGAGACGGTCTTAGACCACGGAGGGGAACCTAGCATGGCCACTTAGCTGAACTGACACAGCATCAAGCACCCTCTGAACACTGTGTTTGTACTACAGACAAAGGCTATAGACAAAGACTTGGTTCACTCCTTGCAGTGAACAAAATAAATGTAAATACTCGTGGCTGAATAGGAGTAAGGAATGCTCTTCCCTAGGAAAGACATTTCTGTCACTCAACATTATGAAAAGGGGTCAGAAAGAGTCTAAGAGCCATAGGACAGGGAGGGGGGCATCAAATGCCGTCTTATATGCACACCTTGGCTATGGCAATCATGAACTCACAGCAGCTTGGCATCCTGGTCCTGGGGGCACCAAAGTCAGGCCCTCTTAACAGTCAGCCATGGTGGAGGGGCCATCCCACACACTGCTGACCTTGGGAGCCCACGGGTTCAGGCTGGGGTGGTTGGTTCCACACTCAGGGTCACACAGATGCCCGAGTAAAGTTTGAGGTGCACAAGAAAGTGAGCTCTGGGTTGAAAAGGAAAGAATGAAGTTGTGGGTGGAGATGTGGGGCAAGGAGCTGGAGGAGAGGCAGCTGGGTGGATTTGATCAAAACACAATGTAATACATATAAGTTTCTCAAACAAGAAATTTAGAAGTGTGTATATTAGAGGAGAAAAGTCCCTAAGAAGTGACTGCAACTGCTTTTCCTTTCAAAAATAAATTGAGGGCTGGAGAGATGGCTCCAAAGTCGTCAACACTTTCTCCGCTAGCAGAGAGCGAGGCTCAGTTCTCAGAACTTACAGAGCCTTACAACTGACTCTCACTCCAGTGTCAGGGAGTCAGGTGTCCCCTTTCCATCCCTGTGGGCACCGCTTAAGTGTGACTCACACATACACATACACACACACATACACACTCACATACACCACACACACACATACACATACTCACACACACACACTCACATACACACACACACTCACATACACCACACACACACACACACATACACACACTCACATACACACACTCACATACACCACACACACATACACACACTCACATACACATACTCACATACACCGCACACACTCACATACACACACACTCACATACACACTCACAAATGATCTACTAACTGACAGCTGATGGAAGAGGAAAACTCCACTTTCTTCAATGGAGCAGCACCGGCTCAACAGCCGTACCTGAGGGCAGGCCTCAGGCTCGGGAGTAACTGACCAGTCCGAACCAGACTCCATGGTTTGGGTTTTTTGTTTTGTTTTATTTTTCAAGAGAGAAAGAACATGAAGCAGATATTTTAAATTAATTTTTAATTATAACAGAATTATGTCACTTTCCCCCTTCTTTCCTTTCCTCCAGCCCCTCCCATGTTCCCTCATTCTCAAATAGAGTCTCTTTTTCTTTTGTAATTATTGTTGCATATATATATAAACTATATATAAGCTAAAATATATAGATGTCCTGCTAAGCCATTTTTTGCTGTTTATGTCTATATAGTTTCATGGCTGACCCACTCAGTATTGAGGGCTGGGTAAAACATCTGAAGGAACTAGGAAGAACTGGAGGAGAGGAATAAATATGACCAAACTATATTGCTTAAGCCAGGCATTGTGGTGCATGCCTTTAAGCCCAATCCTTGGGAGGCAGAAGTGGTCATATCTCGGTGAGCTCAAGGCCAGCGTGTCCTACATAGTGAATTCCAGGCCACCCAGGGCTACAAAATAAGGTCCTGTCTTAAACAAACAAACAAACCATTCAAAATTCTTAAAGAATAAATAAAAACGTGATTAAAAAAATTAATGGTGTAGGCCGGGCAGTGGTGGCTCACGCCTTAATCCCAGCACTCGGGAGGCAGAGGCAGGCTGATCTCTGTGAGTTTGAGTCCAGCCTGGTCTACAAGAACTAGTTCTAGGACAGGCTCCAAAGCTACAGAGAAACCCTGTCTCAACCCCTCCCAAAAAGTCATGGCAAATAATTGTCCCTGCAGAAACTACAATTCGAAGCAATATGACCTGACTCTCCCAATCTGATGCCGATACACCCCCCCTCCTCCCACCCCATCCTGTCCCGTCACAATGGATATTTGAGGTAAAGATGTTTTACACAAAAAGGATGTTGCTATGGTTTTGCTATTTCAGGATATTGACATGCTTATGTAGATTAATAATTGGGGTTTGGTTGTTTGGGGTTTGGTTAGTGGTCCCTTGAGTGTCCCAGCTAAGCGACTCTCACTCACTGTCTGGGTTCCAGCCCTACCTCAGATTCCCGCTGGTTCTCAGCAAACGACTCAAAGACAAGGAGCAAAGACTAAAAACGTGTGTGGTTTGTGGTTTAATCCAGCAAAGATGTTTTTATTGACACAGAAGCAATGATTGCACTTCATCCACCCCGGAAGGATTCCCCTCCCCCACCCCCCCTCCCCCCCCCGCCATTCCTCTCACAGCCTTACACCGTATCCACAGTTCAGGCTAACCAGAGAGAAGTTCACATCCTCTGGTACTGGCAAGTCATTCAATGTACCCCTGAAAATTAACCGGTCCTAAGTCATCACAGGTGACAAGGATGAACCCCTCTATAGGGGAGATGTGGTACCTGCAAGCGGGGTATCTGTTGCCGTCAATGAGCTGACAGACTGTCATTCTGAATCTCATCTCACTCTGGAAGCAGAAAATCTCCGAGTAGTTTGTGCAGCTCTTCTTCTTGGAGGACGTGCAGACGCTGTTGATTTTCTGTGGCCTCTCGTGAATGAAGACGTGCAGCTTTTTGCACGTGTGGTCGGGTTCCCGGATGACTCTTTGTAGGATCATATAGTTGCAGTAACGCAGGGGGACCGTGTTCTGAGGGTAGTCCACGTGCAAATGCTCGATGGATGTCAGCATGACGTCCTCGGCCAGCTCGTTTTCCCAGAGCAGGAGCAGCAAGTAGACAATCACCATTAGCACCATCAAGGGCAAGAGTCCCTTCACGTCTCTGGCTTTAACTCCTAGTAAGCAAAGGGAACAGGAAGGAGCATCGAGAATGAGAGAAGACCAGGATGCGTTAGCCCTTTCTGCTACTTAAGATCGCGCTGGCTGCGCACACCCCACTGTCCCTTAGAAAGCCCTGTTCCTATTGCTCAACGGCTTCCTTTCCACCCAGGTCCACTGCCAACTGTAATCTGTTCTTTCAAATCCCTTCCTCCGGATTCTCCTCCAGTCTGAGCGAGCCCCCCTCACCTGCCCTCCTCGCTCTTGCTCTCACAGGTAACATGTCCTTTTAATCATCTATGTGAGGAGATCCTTCATGTCTCTCAGTCCCCAGAGAAGAACTGGTAAGGAGCCAATTGTGGGCAGGGCAAAGGAGGAGGGAGCAGAAAGGGAGTGATGCGCGGAACAGTGTGCTTGGGTGCCTTCAACGTGAGACAGACGGGAGGCAGTCCTGGAGAGGTTCTCATTAAACGGTGGGGGAACCTTTGGACGCATTTAATCCTGATGTATGCCAGCCACAGTATTGTCCACCTTCCATTACCAATCAGTCCTCACTATAGTCTGTGAAAGCTGATATTTTTACTCCATTAGCAGGGATGTAAGTTCCAGACAGGTCGTGATAGAGACATAAAACCAAGCATAGCTCATCCTGCCAAACTCCTGTGTCCACACATTTTTTCCCCGGATGGCACCTTGGGCTGGGTAAGATCAGTTCCCTTGACTGATCATTCGCTAGCTGAAGTACTGGACTTCTGATGAGTGTGCCAATAGTTCCCGGATTCTGCTGCTTTTTAAAAACACATCAGGTGTTAAAACCAACAAAACACAAACCACCCATCAGTTTCCACATGGAAATTAGTGAATGAGAACTCACTAAGGCGTGAGCTTTCAGATACTGAGACAAGAGGGAAAACTGTCGCCCCTCCCCCCCCCATCTCCGGAAGCCTGCACAATTGATGCGGGGAGAGAAAACATTGCTTGGTTTAGTCTTGCTCTGACACTGAGCCTTGATTTAGCTCAAGTGTGTGATGAACATGTGTAAGTGTATGTGTATATACGTGTCTGAGTGTGTGGATTAATGGGTGTGAGAATGTGTGTAATTGTATAAGTGTACATGTGTACATATGACTATAAGTATGTGAAGTTCAGTGTGTACGTGAGAGCGTGTATGTGTGTCAGTGTATGAATGTATATGTGATTGTATGTATCTGTATGTGTGACTGTAAATGTGTGTGATGTTATGTAAGATTGTGTATGTGTGTGAGAGCATGTTAGTGTGTATATGCAAATGTTTAAGCATATGTGTGTGAAAGAAGGAGAGAAAGAGAGGGGTAGGGAAGAGAGAAAAAGAGTCTGTTGGGGTTGGGGCTAAAGATCAAGAGTGTTGTATACACTGAGATATACTCCAGTCTGTGATGTTGGTTTTAGGAAGGTAAATGTGGTCATTTGAATGAAAATGGCCCCATAGTCTCATAAGCACTTAAGAATCTAAGCTGCAACATTACTAAAGGTCAAATACAGTAGTGCCTGTTTGCCTGTCCAGTTTAAAACTTAAGCTGTGCTGTTATCATGATAAATACGGTAGTTCCTGCCTGTGCTCTGCACAGTTTAGCATGGAAGAGCCGCTTGTGCCTCTGAGCTGCATGCATTGCTCCACTTCCAGGCACACAGTGAGTTCACGTTGCCATCAAGCAAGCTGTAGCACTTTACTCACAAACCCCATCCAAATGCTCTGTCTCCCGCAAGAGACAGAGGTCACGCTAGCAGCATAGCCCAGAAAGCCGGCATTTTAAAATGGTGCAGGTTTTTGTTTTTTTTTGGGGGGGGGGGGTTATTTTGCCGATGAGTCAGGAAAATCTCTCTTAAAGGAGCTGCTGCAAGCCACCAGCAAACAGCAAAAAGCTGTGTCAAACTCTGTTTGTGTGTGTGTGTGTGTGTTTAAAATTAAGCTCTCTCAGGTTTTTAAATGGATTTAGCCCCATGTTGGGCACCAATTGTTGTATGGGAGAGGGCTGCTTGTTCTTCCCGGCCACCCAGCTAGCTTAGCCTGGTAATAAACATACAGAAATTTTATTCATTAAATCACTGCTTGGCCCATTATCTCTAACCTCTTATTGGCTCTCTCATCTTGATTTAACCCATTTCTATCAATCTGTATATTGCCACGTGGCAGTGGCTTACCAGGAAAGATTCTAACCAGCTTCTGTCTCAGGCAGAGGATCCATGGTGTCTCTCTGACTCTGCTTTCTTCTTCCAAATTTCAGTTCTGTCTTCCCCACCTACCAAAGTTCTGCCCTATCAGGCCAAGGCAGTTTGTTTATTCATTAACCAATACAAGCAACACATAGAAAGAAGGACCTCCCACACCACCCAGTGGGTGGAACTGTTTGGGAAGGACTAGGAGGTGTATCACTAGTAGTGGGCACCATTCCCAGCTCTCTTTCTCTCTCTGTCTCTCTCATCTCTGCCTCCATGTGCTCCATGCCTGCCTGCCCGCTGCTATGTTCCCCACCATGCTGCACTAACTCTAATCTCCTGAAACTCTATGTCCCCAACACACTCTTTCTTCAGTAAGTTGTCTTGGTCATAGTGTCTTAGCACAGAAACAGAAAAATAACTTGACAATGAGTATGGTGGGATCCATTATCCCTTCTCATTTTTTCTATATATTTGTGGATATTTATGTAAAAAAGTTTAAATTCTTGCTCTTGTGTAATTTACATGTGGTAGAGGCATATTGACAATTAAAAATAAATAGACTTGGTGTTTAGAACATAGGTGGTCAGAGTCAGTCTGGAAAACTAGGTTTCCTTCTCTTTCTGCTGAACAAATCCCAGTGTTGTTTAAAAATTTGCCCGGTCTGGGACTGGAGAGATGGCTCAGTGGCTACGGCCCCTGGTGTGGAGACCACACCATAAGAAGGGCTTAGGGCCCATCACGCTCAACTTACATTAAACTGAAATGCATGGATGTCCATATGAAAGCATGGGACACTTAAAAGTGTAGTCAGAAAGACCAACTCCCTCAGCGCCAGTCCTCAGCCACTCCTGCAGCCAGGGCTTTCTGGCTTTTCTAGATTCAAAACAGCATGGGGAAAGGGTATTATTAATTTTAATTATCTTCAAAGTACTATTTACGTTGTGACGTTTTTATGCATAGATATCCATATACTCGACCTGTATCTAACACACATACACACACACACACACACACACACACACACACACACACTGGTTTCCTCTCTTACCGGCGTCCTAATCTCCTTCCTCTAACCAAACCGCCCCTCCTTCTACTTTCGCATAACATACATTCTATTAAGAGGAGGCAGTTTTTATGCAAAATTCATGTCTCAGAATGTCTTGGCTGCAAATTATGGACACAAAAGCCTGAGGAGTTACTCTGCACCTCACAGTCTCTGGAGGTAAGCTGCCTGCACCCTAGCGCCCTCTCCCAAGAAAAACCTCCCCAGCTGGTAAACAGTATCTTCATTTCAGGGACGGTTTTCATCCACAGAAATGAAAGTCGTCCACCCGATAGGGAACACCGGCTGCACGGCCTGACCACTGCCTCGGGACAGAGCTGGCGAGCCAGGAATGAGACAGCTCGTCCATCGCTCTGCTGGAAGGGAGCTTCCTGTGAGTGCCCTGCCGCATGGTGTCTGCCTCCTCTCTGCAAACTGCAAGTCTCCACAAGAGAGCCGTGTGTTCATCTCTAGCACAGTGTCCGCTGCTTCTAAGATCCTGACAAATGGGCAAATGGCGTCACATTTTGTGCCTTTTGTGACACAACTACCTATGTTAGGATGAGAAAGTCTTGCCACTTTCTGGGGTTTCCATGTCTGTGTCTAAAACTGGCATGGTAGGGGAAAACAATAGCAGAACAGCAAGGCTCCGCTCTGCTTTTACAGACCAAGGTGCTGAGCTTAACTTAAATGCAGGCACAGGCTGACCTCAGTCGCCTGGCTACACTGAAGGAGAGCTGAGGTGTTCTGCGCCTGCCCGGCTTTCCTGGAAACTAGCAAAGAGGAAGAAAGGAGACATCGAGGGGTGCCAGACCCAAAAGCAGGGTCTGGGAAGCAGCTTGGGGAACTGGTCGTGTGGTCGAGGGGACACCTCCTCAGAGGACCCCAACTGCCTCGTTCTCCCTCTTATTCAAATAAGGAGACAGCGTGGGGCCCGCAAACACCCAAGGGCCGTCTGCTCTGGACCTTGGCCAGGTGATCTGAACTGGAGGCGATCAACCTGTTTTTGGCAGTTAGAGCCCCGGGGGCTGTGCACTCAAGCTCCTTCCACGGGAGGGGCAGGCATTTCTTGTCTTAAGATTTTCCTCAGTTCCTGTCCAGCTGAGGAGAAATTGCCCGAAGCCTGCCTTCGAAGTTAGGACACTCCCTTCAGTGTTCAGCCCCAAGAACTGCTTTGATCACGGCACGCCTGGCTTCTCATCTGTACCAGTAGCCTGGACATTCACCCAAGCCTTCCGCACACTCTGTGGGGAAAGAGCATTAAAGTCACCCTCCCTCCCTGTACCCCCGGGGCATTCTTCCGTTTTGTGTGCTCCTACTATCTGCCTTCTTCCCTGGACCAGGAAAGAAGATAAAAATCCCTGGAAAAGGCGGCTAGAATAATCATCACGGCTCTGGGAAATCCAGACTTGTTTTAAACAAAATAAACAAGCGAAAATCTCTCCCAGCTCATCCGCACCCGACTAGGGCCACTTGGGAATCATTCCAACTGGTTCCTGTCCCACTGACTGATGCTAAGATCCTGAGCTCAATAAACGTTAACTGTGTGAGTTTGCATGAGGACAAGTGATCTAAAGGGACTGGACATGCACTATTTTTAATTTGTAAGAGTTTCTGATATTTGTCTTTATTTTTATTTTAGACAGGGTCTCACTCTATATCCCTGACTGGCCTGGAGCTTGATATTGTAAGGTGTGAGGACATCAGAAATATTTACCAGGCTGGCCTAAATTTCTCAGAGATCCACCTGCCTCTGCATCTTAAGGACTGGGGTTAAAGACATATACCACCATGCCAGGGTTTAAGGTTTATGCAGTGTGTGTACCTCTGTGTGTGTGTGTGTGCCCAAAGAGATATCAGATCCCCTGGAGATGGAGTTACAGGCAGTTGTGAGCCACCTGTATTGGGTACTGGAAACCAAACTCAGGCCCTCTGGAAGAGCAGCAAACTCCTTAACTACTGAATCATCTTTCCTGCTCATTTGTTTAGTGTGTGAGAGGGTAGTGCCCATGCCACAGTGATCATGGTAAGGGAACAATGTGTAAGAGTTCTTTTCTCCACTGTGTGGGTCCCCAGGACAGCACTGAGGGCATCAGGCCCAGCGGCAGCAACTTCACTGGGTGAGCCATCCCGAAGGCTTTAGTACAACCTTTTTGGAGGATTACTTTGATGAACTCCTACAGCGTTGTATGCTCATGACATGAGAAAGATAAGAGAAAGGAGAGAAGCGTGTTGACCTCCTACTCCACAAGGCCGTAAGTTTATGATTGTGCCTCTGAATCGATCCCCACTTTATTTGGTGACAGCCCCTTAGGAGATTTGATGATAGCTGTTAGCTCTGTGCTGTTTCCCTTCCTGTCTGTGGAATGCAGTCCACCTTAACAAGTAGTATACACACT